TCTGGGAGTTGTAGGCCAAAACACCTGGGGACTCACAGGTTGAGAACCACTGCTCTACACTGTTTGAAGCCTATGCCTGGAGGCATTTTCTATCAATGGGGAAGAGAGGTTGAGTGTAGTAAGGGTTTGGAGAAGAAGGAACTGGCCTGACCATGTTGTTATGCCCATGTGGGTTGTGCCTCCTCAAACCGTACCTCATCATAATGAAAATGAAGCATATGGATGGCTTTGAATACCTAATTGTTTTGGAATTATTATTGAGAGCCAGGAAATGTTTGCAAACCACATTTCATTGTCAATAGAAGCACTGTGAGTATCTTTTTGGAACAAGGATGCTAGCAATCCTAAGAGACCTGGCCATGAACAGCTTAGGTAAAACTTTATCATCCAATGAATGGCTGAAGATGAGGACCACCTTGAAACATGGCAAGAAACTCAGGGCAGTTTAAGTCTCAACGTGCAGAAAGTTATGACATTTTTCTGCTCTTTCCCATTAAAGTAGAACCAGAGGATCTCCTGGCAAGGCAAACCCACACTAGGGGAGGTTGGTCAAAGAGACCCGCCAGAAAAGACTGTGTAGCAATCTAGCTAACCAAGAATATTGGTCTAGAAAAAAGAGTTGCAAAAAGACAAGACCTTCAGCACCTTGGACAGCTCTCAGAGAATTCATAATTTGTTCAAGCAAAAGCTGGTGGCTGGGAAATCATTCATAAAGCCCAAGGACAGAAATCATGTAGGCCACAACATATTGTTGGGTTGCAGTTCTCTTCAGCCTTAGCCTGCATAGCCAATAGTGAGGAATGCTGGAAAGTACATACTACTTATATCTAGAGGGCCATACTGTTGTTACCCTGATATAATCTTTCAGTTTGACAATGCCTTCCTGGAGAATGGAGACTCTTAAAGATGGGCAACACCATATTTGGAGTTTGACATTTTATCATTTCTCAACACACAATGACCATGCTGTCTGTGGATGCACAGAGATGCTCAGATGGGTCAGTGCAGAGACTACCTTCCTGATCCAGAACTTGCAGGGTCAAAACATCCCTAATTGCTGAATCATAGAATCTCTGCCTTGTGGGTCTGTTAATTTAATTACAGGCCTTTCTAATTCCACTTGGCCTTCCATACGAATTGATTGATACCTCTGTGCGACAAATGTGGGCCATAACAAAAGTCACAGGAACACACTAGACCTTGTTGCTTAAACAAGGATTAAGCAAAAAAGAAGGCCATCTTGTAATCATTCCTGTCCCTGAGACTTCAGCACCAAGCCAGTGTAGACAAGGTCAGAGGCTTTTGTCAGGATACAGCAGGTCTTTTGCACATAGTATTTTTGTGCAAAATGTTTTTATTGACATTCAAAGGGGTTCTTAGATGCATACAGTAATAGTCCAATCAGTGTAACAAAAGCAGGAAAATAAAAACAGAAAAGTAGAAAAAAATAACCACATTGGTCAAAAACATTTAGTTTTAGAAAATGTAGGTATAAGCAGAAGGCTGAAATGCTATCTGCAAAATAATGTACTCTTACTTTGATCCCAGTCCTGGCTGAACATACAATGTTCCTCTGGTTTGGAAGTGAAAATGCTTTTTTTCCTATCTGAGGCATTTAATACAATTTTAACAAACTTTTTTCTTGGGGAAAATAAACTTTTTTCTTGGGGAAAAATGTCCCCTTTGGGGAGATAAAGTGTGGTATATATAATAAATATAATATTAATAAAAATTATCTTGGAAATACCGGTATTTCTAAACATGTTTCTTATGTCCTGAATTGTGATTGTGGTGGAATCAGGGCGGGTCAGTTGGAAAGCAGGACAGGTGGGAAAGCATGGATCCACTTTAAATCCAGTTTGTGCCTCCTGCAGAATTCTGTCATTTGTAGTTTAGTGAGGCCCAGGACTTGTCTGGCTGAGCTGTTTAAAGGGCCCTCCCTAAACTACAAGCCCCAGAATTCTGCAGGAGGCACAAACTGGATTTAAGGTGGGTTCATGCTCTAGTGTGATGAGGCTGTGAGTCAAAACATGGCAGAACACTGTGCATTGGGGCTGGCATACAGCCCTAGTGTGAATCCACCAATTCAATAATCTGTAGATTCAAATTGTTTTTGAAAAAAACTAAAAAAAACCAAAACCCTAGAGTTTTGACAGTCAGACGGTTACTCTGTGGATAATACTGCAGGGAGCTCATGCATGCATTCATGTCACTTCCAGCCACTGGACAAGGCTGGTGAGGGCTCAGACCCATCTGCCCAGCAGGGAAGGTGGAAGGAGGCTGATGAAAGAAGAGCTGGTGCCAGGCAACATACAGGGATTGTCCATCTATAGACTCCTGTTTGATGAGCAGATGTTCCAGGGTCAAGACCCAAGGCAAACTAGGATGAGGAGGGTGCCTGAGAGTGTGCAGCTCCATGTATATTTACTCTTGTCACTCACAACTCCCATGCCCACCCACCCTCGGCCCAGTACCAAGTGATGCTTCTTCTGAAGTTGCAAGTCCTGCGTGAAGAGCTCAGCCACATAGCCGAGAAAGAGGTGAGAGCTGCTGTGCAAGTGATTTGAGCATTCTCAGAATTTGGTATTTTTAGGGATCCTGGAACCAACCTGCTGTGGATACTGGAGGCTGATTATATAGCATAAACAATCATAAGTATAATCTTCATTTTGTTCATATTTACGTTATACAACAAACTTTCTAGGCGCAAAGATTACTGCAGATGCAGACTGTGGCCAGGAAATCAGAAGACGCTTACTTCTTGGGAGGAGAGCAATGTCCAGTCTCAATAAAATAGTAAAGAGTAGAGACATCACACTGGCAACAAAGATCTGCCTAGTCAAAGCCATGGTATTCCCTGTAGTCACCTACGGATGTGAGAGCTGGACCTTAGGGAAGGCTGAGCAAAGGAAGATCGATGCTTTTGAACTGTGGTGTTGGAGGAAAGTTCTGAGAGTGCCTTGGACTGCGAGAAGATCCAACCAGTCCATCCTCCAGGAAATAAAGCCCGACTGCTCATTGGAGGGAAGGATACTAGAGACAAAGTTGAAGTACTTTGGCACATCATGAGGAGACAGCAAAGCCTAGAGAAGACAATTATGCTGGGGAAAGTGGAAGGCAAAAGGAAGAGGGGCCGACCAAGGCCAAGATGGATGGATGGCATCCTTGAAGTGACTGGACTGACCTTGAAGGAGCTGGGGGTGGTGACGGCCGACAGGGAGCTCTGGCGTGGGCTGGTCCATGAGGTCACGAAGAGTCAGAGACGACTGAACGAATGAACAACAACACAACAAACTCACCCATCTTTAAATACAGTTTAAATTCGCCCATCTGACTAAATTTTGTGCAATATCTTTTATCTGCTTTCTTATATTAAGTTTAAACATCTGAGACAAATTATAGTTAATTGCCAATCTATAGTTCCCCTTGCCTTTCTTTTTCCCCACTGAACTACAAGCCAGGGCACTGTGCTGCCTATTTAACATTCCCTCAAATTGTTCCTTGTTTTCCACATGGCTCCTTTGCAAATAGTGTTTCTTTCACACAGTTTTCCAATACAAATGTATTATCTGCAAGTGTGTAAACATTGTTTACTTCTTGCTGCCGTATTTGGGGGGAGGAGATGTTCCTATGCATTCTGAATGTAACCCAAGGCATTTCAACCATATATAGTCAAAGTTGTAAGACATCTGGATGGAGAAGCTGACTAGGATGTGGGAGGTCTCAACAGGTACAGTATGGCTTCCATATTGACTTTTCTACATCAGGAAAAATATGTTTTCCTTAGGCATTTTGTAGATCATCCAAGGTGATTCTATGGTATATTTCCAATAGAGTTTGCTATTATCTGAACTTTCACATGCCCATAGAAAGTTCAGAAATATTTCCCCTGTATAAATGGGTGTCATGCTGTATTTTGGGTTGTTGTGAGTTATTTGGGCTGTATTACCATGTTCCAGAAGCATTCTCTCCTGACTTTTCATCTGCATCTATGGCAGGCATCCTCAGAGGTTATGAGTCTGTGCTGTATTTTGTTTTGCACTTGGAGTGAGTTCATGTATTCTGTGTGGTGCTGGGTGTGAACCAGATTCCTTAATTTCATGATGGTGCTCTAGACATTGAAATGTAGTGATTATTGGCCCTGTACCTTTTTGTCATGGCCTTGGGCTTGTATAATAAACTATTTGATAAGAATTTCATGAATCCTAACAATGGGAACTGTGGCATAGTAAGGATAATTATATAAATAGATAAATAAATAAAATAATTGCAATTGGTGTGAGTATTTTCCAGAATACTGCAGGACTGGCTCCTAGTTTTTTTTTCTTAAGCTTTTGAGTTTCCTCGTGGAAGAAAATTGGATAACAGTGACATTATTCTTGCATGAATTCCAGGATCGTAGGGGTCAGAAGACTGGCACAACTCATTTGAAAAGAGTGATGGTGTTCCTGAGCAGGTTTTGCAGTACTTGTGTTATATTTAATCAAGATGTTGATCCTTTCCCTAGAGTTCCAACATGAAAAAAAAAAAAGGTATTGATGACTCAAGTGTTAGAGAAGCATTTCGGGAACCATAGTGTCTACTATGCAATCATGTGTTTTCTATACTTGGTCTATTTTAATGAGACTTCTCTTCTATAAAAATGCTAAGTATATAGCATGAAAAATAAGATTTTGAAAATCACAAATACTAATGAAGCAATCCCTCCTTGGAACTTTAATACTGTTTCACTTCTCTGTTTCACTTTCTATACTGTTATCTGGGTATGTCTTATAGTACCTTAAAGATTAATAAATCCTCTTCCTTATTCTTGACAAGATTAATAAGTAACATTCTAAATTGCGAAACTTCGTTTGTGCAAAACATACATATTGTACTGTGATGCAAGTATTAGTTTTATGTAAATTGTTCAGCTTCTGTGTTCATTTCAGCTGCCAAATCCTACACTCACATCTCTCCAAACTATATGTATCATTAATTGGTGTTTATTTCCTTCCCAGGTCCTCTCACTGGGAGCTGATGTACTCCCCGAATACAAACTGCAGGCACCACGCATCCACCGATGGACCATCTTGCACTACAGTCCATTCAAGGCAGTATGGGATTGGCTCATTCTGTTGCTGGTCATCTATACAGCTGTCTTCACACCCTATTCAGCTGCCTTCCTGCTCAATGAAGAGCAAGAGGAGAAGCTCTCCGAATGCAACTATACATGTGACCCACTCTACATCATTGACCTCATTGTGGACATCATGTTTATTGTTGACATCATCATCAACTTCCGCACCACTTATGTCAATATCAATGATGAGGTAGTAAGCCATCCAGCCAAGATTGCCATCCACTACTTCAAGGGCTGGTTTCTCATTGACATGGTGGCTGCCATCCCCTTTGATTTGCTCATCTACCGCACTGGATCAGACGAAGTGAGTTCTATTAAGTATAGCCTTCACATTAAGAAGAAACATACAAATTTGTGACCCACAATAGGTGAACACACTAAAAAATGAGAGCTTTTCACAAGTTCCAGATGAGGAGGAAGAAAAGAGTTAGTGTTTCACATGCAATCTCCATAGTTTTGTAACCTATAAATGTTAGGTTTGCCTTTTTGGTCACCATAATTTGGAAGCAACATGAAGGCAAACGATAAAACAATATGCAGACCTTACCAATCCATGGTGCTCCAGACCCAGTGTTTCCAATCTATGGGTTCCTAGATTTTGTTAATCTGTAACCCTCAGAATCAGGAACAGTTGGCTTTTTTATCTTGAGTAACTGGGACATACACTCCAACAATATCTCCAACCCCATGATTGGGAAGCACCCTTCCAAGACTGAGCAAGTACAAGTGATGTCTTTGGCATATGATGATGTCTAGAGCTTTCATCCAAAGTTGTAAGGATGATCAGGAATTTAACCAACATGTTCTTCTGTCAATATTGGCATAGGTTTGGCAAGGAACTGTTGACTTTTTGGAAGTTGCAAGCACCCCCTTTCAGAAATAGAGATGCAGAAAGAGGCAGAATTCTTTAGAAATATGGCCCTAGATTGTTTACGTGGGAGAAGATGCAATGCAAATTTATCTGTGGTATTTCTCTGGTGAAAAAAAATGCCTTTAAACTCCCATATCCTTTAAAGAAAACATTAATCTCAAGGCCTGGTTTTGGGAATATCAAAATAAATATATCACAAAAGTCATGAGTAATGATAGGGATGGATTGGACAACCTGTGCTATCTAACTCTGTCACATGTGCTAACAGAATGGTGGTGTCTTGCTGTGTCCCAGTGACACTCGCGCAGGGGGCGTGGGAACCTGTCGCCCTGCTCCCCACACCATTGCTGCTTCCCCACCTGCCTCATCAGGCAGGAGGAATCCTGTTTACGGTGGCTTGATCCATCTTTTCTAATGGAAAAATGGGGTTCCTGCTGTTGTCTGCCATTTTTTCAGTGGTGGTAGTAATTAAGCCATGGGGCCACCCCAGAGGTAGTCCTCCAGGGTGGTAGTCTGAAAACGCCATCGCCAGTGCCAAAAAAAGATAAGTGTGAAGCGTTGATGAACTGAGTTCCCATCAACTCTAGCCAACCTGACCAATAGTGAGATGTGATCGGAGCAATAATTCATTAACATGTAGAAGCCATCCCCATGCCTGATTTAGGACAAATACTTTGCAACAATGTGTCTGGAAGTGGTTTCTGTTTATGCCTGTCCCTCTTTTTCTAAAAAGAAGCATTTGTGGTTTTTCCTGTGTGACATTGTCTTCGTCTTAAAAACTGTTTCGGTTTCCCACATCTCTATCTCTCACATACACACATATTTTAAAATTATAAATAGAACACTGAAGTTTATTTTTATTTTTCCTCTACTCTACAGACAACAACGTTGATAGGACTGCTGAAGACAGCACGGCTGCTCCGCCTAGTGAGAGTAGCCCGCAAGTTGGACCGCTATTCTGAGTATGGGGCTGCTGTGCTCTTCTTGCTCATGTGCACATTTGCCCTCATTGCCCATTGGCTAGCCTGCATTTGGTACGCCATTGGCAATGTGGAGCGACCTTACATGGAGCATAAAATTGGATGGCTAGATAACCTCGGTGATCAAATTGGGAAGCGCTACAATGACAGTGACCTCTCATCTGGACCCTCCATCAAGGACAAATATGTGACTGCCCTCTACTTCACCTTCAGTAGCCTTACCAGTGTTGGTTTTGGCAACGTCTCTCCCAATACCAACTCTGAGAAGATCTTCTCCATCTGTGTCATGTTGATTGGCTGTAAGTCATTCTTTATCTTTTCTCTGGTGTGAACCCTGGTGCTTTTTCACTCCTTAATATACTAGAACCGGACTCAGAAAGCTGTTTACCCTATATTAATACTGCATTTGTAATACATTCCTGTATTTACAGCTTCTTTGTTATAAGGGCAGCCTCTGAGCCAGGCCAAAGTGAAGAAAGCATCTACTCTACTAAGAAATTTAAAGGCAACACAGATTGAGTATCACTTATTAGAGATGCTTGGGATCAGATGTGTTTTGAATTTTTGTTTTTGGAATATCTATACTTGCATATATGTACAAAATAAGATATCTCTGATACCTTATTTTTCATGTACATCTTATACATATACCCTGAAGGTAATTTAATACAATATTTTTAATGATTTTGTGTATGAAGCAAAGTTATGTACCTTATATTCTGGCATATAAGACTACTTTTTAACCCAAGAAAATCTTCTCAAAAGTCAGGGGTTGTCTTATACATGGGAGTCGTCTTATACGCTGGAGTAGCCATATGCATGGGAGTCATCTTTATATGCAGGAGTAGTCTTATACGCTGGGTGCTGAAACTTCCAATCCGGATAGGAGAATCTGTGGTTGCTGCATATTGCGGGGGGAGCTCAAAAATGGCAGTAGCCGCATCCCTGCCATATGCATCGACTGTATGAAAGCATTAAGGGCAACGATGTACAAGTATGGTAGAAGAAAATCTGTTCATCAGGATTTGTGGACTTAATGCGGTCCAGATGGTGAGGTGAAGGGGCACCTCGCCGGGAAGGTGTAAGTGAAGGGCGGAGCAAACTGCATGCATCCAGGGCACCCGGGGTAGGGAAAAAAGAGATAGTGTGGCGCTGGTCCAGAAAAACACACCTCTTTTACCTATCTGGCCCGCCCTTGTATCCTATTACTGTACCTGCTCATCTGCCTCTGAAATCTTGCTCCTGAAGACTGCAGTGAAACGGTGGAGATGTGCATGTGCAAGATCTGAGAGGCAGAGAAGGAGGTACAGTAATAGGAAAATTACCATATTGAAATCAAATCTGATGCTTTTGAAATTTTTATTTGATGTGCGGTGGAAGAGGGGTAGTCTTATACGGCGAGTATATCCCAAACTCTATATTTTAACTGGAAAAGTTGGGGATCATCTTATACGCCCACTCGTCTTATATGCCAGAATATATGGTATATTAATCCATTAGAAAGCCAAGGGGACAGTTTTGCATTTTGAAATTCTGGATAAGGGATGCTCAGCCTATAGGATAAAAGTCAGGATAGTGCTTTGGCTATTTTAAAAACCAAGAGGAACAATATCAGCACTGCTTGGTTTAAAGCTAATAGAAACAACATTGGCACTTGTTTAAGGCTAAAAAGAAACAATGACTGTACAGAACTGAAACCCAGAAGAGCATATAGTTAGTTAGTCAAATGAAGCTAAGTAGAAATCTTCTATATCCATAATATCTGTATTTCAGGGGAAATTCTACTGAGGTTTTTAGTTTGAATATGTATTTATTGATATTAACTGAAGTTATTTAATATCAATAATATTTCATTCTGTTTTACTATTTATATATTTGTAGATGTTAAATTGTACTGAAATGCTTTTAATGTTAGCCACTTTGAGTCCCCTTTCAGAGAGAAAAAGCAGAGTACAAATAAACATAATAATAATCATAATAACAATAATAATTCTGCAATGTTCAGATTGTAGCAGAAAGCTCTGAGTCGCAGAACTGTGTCCATTACACAGTTTGTAAGAATACATTAAAGCAGTCTGGAAATATGGACTCAAATTTGGGAGATACAAATTAAACCATGCTATATCCTCCAACAATTTACAGGTGAAAACTGGGGTGCATGTGGCCAAGAACATCAGGCTGTGGTCAAAATTGCAGGAAGAACAGACATGCTGCTGTGGTTAGCTTTGATCTGTGCCTCCTGCTGAGCTAACTGGGCCTAAACTACTTTGGCAGTTTAAACTCAATTTGCAGCAATGGAAGTATGCCAAGGGCAAGGGGCAAAGTGGGAAGGAAAAAAAGTGGAAATATTTTTAAAGCAGTTGTAGAAGTGGAATGACAGAGGATTAATCAAGATTAATCATTGTCAAATTAAGAAAGTCAAGAGGTATAGCCATGTAGCAAGAAAGGGCTCTGATTCTGTATTGGAGTCCCACTGTACAAAAAGGATGTGTGCATGTTCAGTAGAAAGGATGTAAGCAAAGGAGCCTTGTCTAAGGGCCACCACTATCCATGGTAGACAGGCTGTGACTGTCATGCCTGACGTCCAGATTTTGCTACAATTCCATTGGCATATCAGAGTACAGCCTTTTAAATTATTTTCCTCCATGGAAATGAATAACAGTCTGACATTTGTCTGTAAGGCAGAACAGCCTATTTTAAAATTTTTATGTTACAGTATTTATATTCCACCCTTCTCACCCCACAGGGGATTACAATGTACATATACATGGCAAACATTCAATGCCATAGACATATATAGACAGACACAGAGGTTATTTAACATTCCAGCTTTTTTCATGAGGGTATTCTGGCCACCAGGGGAGCTGTTGCTTCACCATCCATTTCTGACACTGATAAAGTATTTCCTGATTCTTTGCATGCTTGCTGGAGATTTTTATCGCGTTGTAAATTAGCCTCCCCACATAAGCAGTACCTAAATTTTCTACTTGACAGATGCAACTGTCTTTCGGGCTGCAAAGGTCGACAGCAAGCGACACAAATTGGTCACAAGCTCACTCCGACCCGGGCTGGCTTTGAACTCATGACTTTTTGGTCAGTAGTGATCTTAATGTAGCTGACTCCCAGCTACCTGCACCACAGACCCAGCCTATGAGACTCTTCCTTGAGTTTATTCACAAGTCAGTTGCTTGAGCTCTCTAACCAAGTTTTTTAGTAGCTGCGAGAAGACATCCTGTGCAGATAACAAATGACTAGAACAGGGTTGAGGATAGGATTTCTAAGTCAGGACTTGAGATCTCAGAACCAAGTCTGAGACCTAGAGGTGAGGTTGTTTTAGGTTTTTTTGTGCTGTATGGCCATGTTCTAGAACAGTGGTTCTCAACCTGTGGGTCCCCAGGTGTTTTGGCCTACAACTCCCAGAAATCCCAGCCAGTTTACCAGCTGTTAGGATTTCTGGGAGTTGAAGGCCAAAAACATCTGGGGACCCCAGGTTGAGAACCACTGTTCTAGAAGCATTCTCTCCTGATGTTTCACCTGCATCTATGGCAGGCATCCTCAGAGGTTTTGAGGTGACTTCCCCTTGTATATCACTTGCAGTTTCTCACATCGCTCCTGACACACACACACACAATCACAGGGATGGGTATTGGTGATGTTGCAAGGGACATGTTACAAGGGCCAGCCCATGAAAAATGTCATTAATTATATGTTTAGTATCAACCTTAGTTGAAAAATCAATGCCATTCAAATAAAACCTAAGTTTAACAAATGGAAATACACACATATACTTTTCAAGACAGTAATTTCTTCCTGGAGATGATGGGCTAACCTGAGGCCTCTCAAATCCAATACAAGTTCACTGAGAACAATGGTTAACCTTTGTCTTACCTCCTGGAAGCACCATTCAGTCTGAACCTCAACCCTAACCAGGCATGTAGCCGGGGGGGGGGGGCTTGGGGCTTCAGCCCCCTCCCCCCGAAATTCTCATGGTGGTCCACGAAAAGGCCTTACTGGTGCATTATTTAAACTGTTATGTTTATTCATATCATGATCTGATCACCATACTCAATATATCCCATATGCATGGGGGTATTGGGGTAACGATACAAAAGGTTTGCTAGGGTAGACCCTCTTTCACTCAGACTCAGCCTCCCCCCCCAATCAAACTCAGCCCCCCCCCCCCGAATCAAAATCCTGGCTACGGGCTTGACCCTAACAATTCTGATTACTTCCAATTTTCAAAATAAAGCTACTATGAGTCTAAAATAGGTACAGATGATGATGAAAAAAATGCCTGAAGTGGCTGATCATGTCTCCTGGAGGTTTCTATTTCCTACTCCCATCACAAAAAAGGAGGAGACAGCAGGAGCAAAGGGAAAAATGTCAGCTGTGACACGAATGTAGTTTTTTAGGAAATAGTTTCTTAAACTGTGGGTCACAACCCAATTTGGGGTCCCTAACTAAATTTGGGGGGGGGGTCACAAAGAATCTTTGTAGCTTGCCATCTGATGGCTGTTTTAAACATTTACATGATTCTGTTAGCAGCAGCATGTGGTGAATGCTTTAGCTGTACTTCATGAAAGGTTAATTGGTCTGACTTATTTAGCAAGACTTACAAATGCTACTTTTGATTGATGTATTTCTTTTCAGTTTGAGAAATACTTCTTTCAAACGTTGATTCTAAAAATATTAAGTTGGGCAGGCATGTAGCTGGGGGGGGGGCTTGAGGGGCTTCAGCCCCCCCCCCCCAAATTCTCATGGTGGTTCGCGAAAAGGTCTTACTGGTGCATTATTTAAACTGCTATGTTTATTAATATCATGATCTGATCACTATAATCAATATATTCCATATGCATGGGGGTATTGGGGTAACGATAACAAAAGGTTTGCTAGGATAGACCCTCTTTCACTCAGACTCAGCCCCCCCCCCCCAAAAAAAAAAATCAGAATCCTGGCTACGGGCCTGAAGTTGGGTTCATAAACCATACTCAATTGAAATCAACACAATCAGTCACCTGCCATTAAAAGTTCAAGAATTGCCTGTAATCTGTGCAGAATGTGAAAGGTTAATAGTACATATTCGTTTTGTGGGGTGAAAAATTTATACGATCTGAAGAGAAACCAGAGTTTTGTGGGGAGGAAGTGATATGGATCACATGCATGTATGTGAAAAGACCATGATGGAAACAAGGGGGAGGTGAATGTAAGTCTTTTTGACACACATGGCCCACTCTGCAACTTGAGACCTTTTAAGTTGGAGGTACAGACTTCCCAAACACCCCATTGTGTTCCCAAAATTCAGTAGAAAAAAGGAGAGCCAATAGACTATATTGTGCCACTTGAGGCTGCAAACCTAGAATGCAAGTGTGACATGAAATATGTTGAAAATGCTCTACGGACTGCAGTATCAAATATTGAGCCAAGATTTTATTCTTTAAGTAAAAATAAACAAGCACATCCATCTCCTTTGTATGGAAATTTGCTTTCATTTTTAATATATGATAGAATTATATTTATAACAAAGAATTTACAATACATATTTTGTGATTTATTAATAACTCGCTGTACCTGCCACGCATTGTTGTGGCCAACCTTCCCTCCCTCTTTCTCTTCTTTCTTTCTCTCCTTCCTTCCTTCCCTCCTTCTTTCCTCCCTCCCTCCCTCTCTTCCTTCCCTTTTTTCTTTCTTTCTCCTTTCCTTCCTTCCTTCTCTTCTTCTTCCTTTCCATCCCCCCACCTTTTTTCTTTCCTTTCCTATTTCTCCCCTGTTTTTCCTTCTCTACCTATTCTTGGACTGCAACACCCAGCAGTCCTCCTGATCCATCTATCTATCTACCTACCTATCTCTATCTAATCTATCTATCTGGAGGACTGCTGAGAGTTGCAGTCAAGGAATAGAAAATTGGAAATATACAGGGATTGGGATGCTCTCAAAGAAATCCAAGAAGAAGAAAGCTTGCAGCTGGGAAGAAGTGCATTTGGATCATCCTCCTTTCCTAAAAGGCCTGGTCTAAGGGATGCTAGGAGCTGTAGTCTGGAAGAGAGTGTAGATATACTATTCTGTGTTTTGTTTGCCAGGAGGATTCATTTTGTGCATGCGCTGTAGCATCTTTTTTGGCTTTTTAAGTCCCTTCTGCTGTGTTTTTGAGTGTTTTATGAATGATGATCACTCGTTGGCCTGATAGGTGTATTGTATCCAAATTTGGTGTCAATTCGTCCAGTGGTTTTTGAGTTATGTTAATCCCACAAACAAACATTACATTTTTATTTGTATAGATAATATCTATTTTATATACCTATATATATTGGGTTATGTAAAAATTTCTTGGTCGAAAAAGGGTTGCAAGTAGAAAAGGTTTATGAATCCCTGCCCTAGAGCTGGTGTGCTTGCTTTGCAAAAATTACGCAGTGAGAAGATATTGAAGTTTGGGAAATGACAAATTAGCGCAGTGCATTCCTATTCGTATGTTTGACTTCTGTGTTATTTGTTGTTCACACGTACTGACTGAGAACCAGGCTGAGCCAGGCTTCAAGCCTGTAATTGTTTCAGAATGGCACACAAGAAGCAGTCATATTAGTGGCTCCAAGCATGTGGGAAGTATGTTTATTTCACTAATAAAAAAACACTGCTCTCTCCAAATATTTAGGATTGAGATTTTTGATCTTGTGAGTCAGACATCTTGGTTTTGAAAACAGGGACTTTAATTTTTTTTAAAGATCAGCAATGTTCTCTGCTTGATAGGAAGGGTAAATATTTATTCCTGTAAATAGGAACGGTGTTACCATTTATAAACCACTATTATGCTTAAAATGCAAGATCTTAGACCTTTCATATGTGTCAGTGCTCTGGTTCCAACATGACAGGCAATGGTGCTCTTCTTTCCTAACGCTGTCCTTGTCCTCTTGTTTCAGCTCTCATGTATGCAAGCATCTTTGGCAATGTCTCTGCCATCATCCAACGCCTGTATTCTGGTACAGCTCGCTACCACACCCAGATGCTGAGAGTTAAGGAGTTTATCCGTTTCCATCAAATCCCCAACCCACTACGCCAGCGCCTTGAAGAATATTTCCAGCATGCCTGGTCCTATACCAATGGTATCGATATGAATGCGGTATGTCAGATAAGGTGCATTCTCTCCTACATAGGCCTGACAACTAGAGAATGGGAGCAGACAAATGTGGTTCTCCAAAACCAATATAAATCTACATTTAATCTGTACTTGCACAAAACATCTTAGAATTCTCCATCTGTCAGCTAATACAATAGTTGTCAGTGATGGAGTGGACCTACTCACTCACTTTGTAATAGTTGTTCCTGGTGCATTTGGGGGATAGGATTTGGCACATTGGATAACTCCTTTAAAGTGTGCAATAAACACAGCTACACTGAACACTTTGGTCTAATGTGCCTTGGATCATCTCCGTAGTGACCAAATGCTGCATTAAACTGATCTGGGGTAATGCAGGACAAGGCATTAAAATGTTTTTAAATTAATTTGATAGAAGATTTCAAAATATATATAATACAAATATTGATAAAATACATATTTGGCTTTCTACCACATTTTATGACATTTCTGTCACATAAGGGGAAGGCCTCTACTTCAGCTATTTCTGTTAGGACATAATGTGTACAGTATCTTTTATTGAACCAACTAAAAATGCAAAAAATCCCATATGCAAACTTTTAAATACCACAAGCAGCTTCATCAGGCAAAGGTAGTAATCATCATCATCATCATCATCATCATCATCATTGACAAAATCACGATCTGTCAACTGCAAAAGGCCACCTTATTAGATCTGCACACATCATTCGAAAATGCATCACACAGTCCTAGACGCCAGGGAAGTGTTCGACTTGTGATTTTGTGATACAAAATCCAGCATATAGATCCTGTTTTCTCTAACATACTGTGGTTTTGTGTCAGTAAAATAATAATAATAATAATAATAATAATAATAATAATAATATCTAGAGCTCTCACTAAATTTGAAAATATTTTAAACAATACGGAAGGACAAACTTCAAAATTATATTGAATAATATAAGAGGTTACATTTGGCAACTCTGAAGGAACAAGGCTTGTTTGGAAACCAGATCTGAAAATAATAATAGAAGGAAACAAATTGAACTCAATTTGGGAAAACCTATCTTACAAAACAGTTTCTGTTCAAATGAGAGAAAACGCACTGAAAACTATCCATAAATGGTATTAATATCCACTCACATTACACAGGATTAATAATGGCTTATCCCAATTATGCCGGAGAGGATGCAGAACATTAGGAGATTGGAACCATATTTGGCTGTCATGTCCAAAGGTACTAGTGTTTTGGAATAAGTTGTATAATATGAGAAAAAGTCCATTTTAGAGGAGCATAACTGCTTCTTTCTTTATTTGAAGACACAAATAAAAATCTATCAAACAAAGTCTTTATAGTATTGTTGGTATTCACTTCAAGGATAGAATTGTTAAAGTATGGGTAAAATAGAGAATGTATTGATACAGAATTAGATAAACAGAATATGGACCATAGTTCTATCAGAAAAAATAATATACAAAGTAAGATTTGAGAGAGGAGAAATAAAAGAGAATTTGTTCAAGGCTATATGGAAATCATTTATTAGCTATTTGTGCAAGGTTTAATAGCAAGTTAAAACCATGTTCAGAACAAGTAAGATTTTGATTAGATGAGTACAACATGTCTATTATTCAGAAATATATAATAGATAATAATGTATCAGGAGCTGGGAGTGGCAATGGCCGACAGGGAGCTCTGGCGTGGGCTGGTCCATGAGGTCATGAAGAGTCGGAAGCGACTTAATGAATAAACAACAAAAACAGACTGACAGGAAAGTAGTCCATAAATGTCTATGACTTGGAGAGGGATGGATGATAGAATGGGATAATGCAGAATCTTAGACTATGATTGGTACTTTAATGTTTTAATACATTCTTATTGGCTCCCACTCTTTTTAACATCTATGTTAATGATTTGATGCCTTGTTGATTCTCTTTCCCCAGTAATTAGGAACAGAAAGATTTTCATCTGGATGTACACAGATGATTTAATGCTCTTCTCCCCATCTTGTTTGTGTCTTTAGAATCTTTTGGAGGCTTTCAGTACCTACTGCCAACAGGAATACCTGTCAATATTCCAAGATCAACATTATGGGTTTTGATAGACATTGTCCCAAGTATACATGGACTTTAGATCAACATGCCATAGAACAAACCCACCTATTCAAGTACCTGGAGCTCCCGGTGGCACAATGGGTTAAACCCTTGAGCCAGCAGGACTGAGGTCAGAGGTTCAAATCCAGGGAGAGTGCGTATGAGCTCCCTCCCTCTATCAGCTCCAGCTCCCCATGTGGGGATATGAGGGAAGTCTCTCACAAGGATGGTAAAACATCCAAACATCCGGACGTCCCCTGGGCAATGTTCTTGCAGACGGTCAGTTCTCTCAAGTCACTCCTGACACGAAAAAAGTTTATATTATTCGTTAATTTTTGGTTAGCCCAATAAAGTTAGCACTTTTTAATGAATTTTGGGTGTTATTTCAATGTGAGGTGTTTTCCATTGCACCCAAATACATTCACACATTTATCCAAATGTATTTGGTTGTGTGAATTAGTCCCCAGGTTAGGTGATTTCAATAGTAGCAAAAAGGAATAAGAGACATGATTCTGAACTGAGATCTAAGTGGGCATTTGTATCCTGCTCTCATAAATACCAGAAACAAAAACAGATAGTTTGTTTGGGTCATAAGAACAAGTGGACTGTTAAAAGTCTCCAAGTCTAGCACGAAGACCCCAAAAATGGTCCATGAGGAAGGACATTAAGATGACAACCTAAAACCCCTCATTGTGAGCTGGGTCAGCTTTTCCTGGGCATGAAGAAGAGGTTCCAAAGCTATATTGATTCCACTTTTCTTCCCAAAGGCTGGTTGCTAAGCAAAAACTGAATAGGACTGTGCCGAAATAAACTTCAATCCATTTTAATTAGTCTGTTGTAAAAGGGAGTGGAGGAGATCAATAGTAAAGCAGAAAGTAACATTTGAAGAGGAAACCTCAGTATAGATCCCCTGAAAGAAGGATGAGCTGTTCTTGCTCATTGGGTTGGGATGCAGAGACATTCTTCATTATGGTCTATAGCAGACTCTTGCAAACTGGCTGAGGCCAAAAAAAGTCAACTTTACTTCTCAATAAGCACAACATACCTTGAAATGCACATCTTGAGAAGGAATTTCTCAAAGTGAATCATGGCTGTCAAGATAGATCACTGAAAGAATGTTGTCTTAATGAAGACTCTGTGGGGCCAGGGAAAGAACTGTACTTGGGATACATACTGTATATATGTATGCCAAAGTAAGTCACAAATAGGAACAAATATAATAAATCTTTAATATAAATAAATTGAAGTCACACAGTCCAAACCTATAAGGAGCAATATGAGGAAAAGTCTGGAAGACATAAATAAATTGTGGGAGAAGAATAGATGGCCCAAGATACTAAAAGAAGCAAGACACATTTTGACTCAATCTTTATCTTTATCAGTAGCCAATGAAATTCTAATGTTCTCCAATATTTCTTCCAGACAAAAAGCACACTGGAGTATAGAATATAGATATAATAAAGATAAAAAGCATCACCAAAATAGCTTTAAAATACCTCTGCAAGCTCGGTAAAAAGCCATGCTCGCTAAACATTTTCTCCTACTGCATCAGAAGCAGACATTTCTAGAATCCAATTATTGTGCAGTTCTTTCCATCTTTATAGCACACTGTTTTCAGCTGAATTTTATTCTTAGTTGTATTGCCTCTGGTCTTGTAACAGAAGATAGGTAGGATATAAATAAATGAATCATTTATTTTATTCTAAATATTGAAAGGTTGGAAAGGAAAAAGGACGCAGAAAATGGGAAACAGTAGGATTTTTATGATACAATTATGGATTAGATATATCCACTAATATAAATGGTTCATATATCCAAAGCAGGCATGTAGCCGGGGGGGGGGGGCTTGGGGGGCTTCCCTCCACCCCCCCCCCCCCGAAATTCTCATGGTGGTCTGCGAGAAGGCCTTACTGGTACATTATTTAACCTGTTACGTTTATTCATATCATGATCTGATCACCATGCTCAATATATCCCATATGCATGGGGGTATTGGGGTAACGATACAAAAGGTTTGCTAGGGTAGACCCTCTTTCACTCAGACTCAGCCCCCCTGAACCAAACTCAGCCCCCCCCCAAAAAAAAAAACAAAATCCTGGCTACGGTCCTGATCCAAAGAATAAATTCGCTCGCAACTGACATTTGTAAAACATATCTTGGTGCATAGCTAAAGCCATAAGATGTTCTGACCATTGAAAGACAAATGGCAGGAGTTTATGTCTTGTTACAATAGTCAGGAGTCTATGTCTTGTTACAATAATAAGGATGCAAAAGAATGCATCACGCTGACCATCTGTTAAGTTCCAAATCACTTGAAACTATATATGAGCTTCGGCATGTATTAAAGGTTTTTCTAATGCAAAATTAATCTATCAGTCAATGTTTAAGGAGCTCCATTGGTTGCCATTCATCTGCCGGTCCCAATTCAAGATGCAGGTTATCACCTATAAAGCCTTAAACGGTTTGGGACTGCCTACCTTCGTGACCGCATCTCCCTCTATAAAACTGCAGGAACTCTTTGATTCTCCGGGGAGGCCCTCCTCTCACTTCCACTGTCATCACAAGTACGATTTGTGGGGACAAGGGAGAGAGCCTTCTCTGTTGTGGCCCCTCGGCTCTAAAACTCACTGCCTGGTAAAATTAGGCAAGCCTCTACCTTGGCAGCTATTAAGAAAGACCTAAAAACTTGGCTCTTCCGATGTGCCTTCCCATATGCAGTCTGTTCCAACTACTGCCCCATCCTCATGGGACACTTCCCCCCCCCCCCCCCCCCCCCCGCCCTTAATAAGGGCCTAACTCTACTGTTCCGGTCCTTTTGTGTTCCTCCCTCAGAAACCCATTCTCCCTCAGAAACTCATACTACATATCTCATCCAGGGTTTTATCAATTTTATCAATTTTATTCCTAGTACATTTGGCCTGCCCACTGTATTCTTTTTCTCTATCATGTTATTTTAAAACTGTTTATCTTATTTTGTTATTTCATGTATTTATTTTTATGGTATTTTTGCTTCTCATATTTTATTTTGCTGTACTGTAATTTTGGGCTTGGCCTCATGTTAGCCGCCCTGAGTCCCCTTTGTAGAGGTGGTGGTGGAATATAAATAAAGTTGATTATTATTATTATTATTATTATTATTATTATTATTATTATTTAATTTTGAAAAGGGAAAAGTACTTCTTTGGGATAAGAAAAGGATCTGGAGAAGAAAGGGTGGCATTAGAATCCCTTCCAGATTCTACCCATTTATGATGTCTGCCTATTTTCATTCTTCTTCAGGTGCTGAAAGGGTTTCCAGACTGCCTGCAGGCTGATATCTGCCTCCACCTCAACCGCACTCTCCTCCAAAACTGCAAGGCCTTCCGGGGTGCTACCAAAGGCTGCCTAAGGGCTTTGGCCATGAAGTTCAGGACAACTCATGCACCACCTGGGGACACCCTGGTGCATTATGGTGATGTTCTCACCACTCTATATTTCATCTCACGTGGCTCCATTGAGATCCTCAGGGAGGACATCGTTGTGGCCATTCTAGGTGAATGACTTCTCAGGGTAGTGAGGGTGATGGGAAGGAGGGTAACCATACAGAAAGAGTGGCAGGAAGTTCTTTGTAATTCAGCTCACTGTTCATGTGTGCCCCTGGGTCAAATGGAAGAATGTTATATTACATCTCTGGGTACTTCCAAGCAAGGTTTTTATTGTACAAGCACTCTGCTTGCAGAATTTGAAAATTGGTCCAGATGACAGCACGTTTCCTTTGTTCATTTTCTATGTTTTTGTTCCAGTTCCAACTTTTTTTCTTTATACAGAAAATCTGTATTAAGGAGAGAGAAATAATAAAATTTATTTATTTGATCAGTCATATGACCATTTCAAAATAGAACACGAGTAAAAAAAACAAGGCAACAAGGTGAAGACAGCAGCCGACCTTCTATTTATAGTCAGAATCTTATTTTCCTGGTTCTTCTTTCAGGAAATCTGCTCTTTTCTTAATAGCTTTCAGAATAAAAAGGCTTACTCTGATTATGCTGGATCTTTCCTGCCCTTGCAAGGGGGATGTCAGAATATCATTTCTGTTGGGGGACCTGCAGTTGGATAATATTGGATGTAAATATCTGTCTCGCAGTTCAGTAGATGCTGGACAGTCAATTAAGAAATGTTCAATGTCTTCCACTGTTTGTTCTCCCCAGACGCAGAGTCTCTCATTTCTTGGGATGTTACAGTAGCGCCCGGTTTGCACCATAGTACCGAGTTGTTCAAACCTAGCCCTAGTATATATTCTTCTTAAGGGTAGAGGAATTGGAATAGTTAGGTAGTGCTCTAAATGAATATTCCTTTTGTGGGAAGCTAAAAACCTTGTGGCTCAAGACCTACCTATGCTCTCTAGGTCCAGCTGTGCATAGACATCCCTAATGCGCCGCTTGATCACTTGCCCTGCCCCCAGACCCAAAACACCCAGAAATTGCAAAGGCAGACCGAATCCAGCCAGCTCATTATTCAGAACTGCCATCCACGATGACTTCTGGTCATGCTGGACTTGAGGAGAGAGAAATAGAATACCATAGGCTATGCTTTTGAAAGGTGGTACTACGGGTATAGTGTAGTGGTATGAGCAATGGAGTATGATTCTGGAGACCAGTGTTTGATTCCCCATTCAGCCATGAGTGACCTTGGATCAGCCACATTCTATCAGCCTCAGGGGAAGGCAAAGGCAACCCCCCCCCCCCAACAAATATTACCAATAAACTCCAAGATCACTTTAGGATCATTATAAGTCAGTAATGACTTGAGGGCTCACCAGAACAACACTGGAAAATATCTGTCCAAAAGCACTCCTTCTCTTTCACCATTTATTAAAAATATGGTAATGGTGCTACCCCATACTGCTTCTCATGCTGGTGTGGGCATCTGCAGAGGTGTGTAAAGAGGCTCTTCCTAGTGGTGGTGGCAGCCTCAGGGCTCCATGGCATCTGGAAAAGGAGTAAGAGAACCCAGCTGGTAACCGAGTTATTCCTGATGCTTAGACTGCGGAAAGCTGATAAGTCCCTCAAGGCACGGACTTCAGGTGGCAGAGTATTCCAGAGTGATGGTGCCACTGCTGTAAAGGCTCTGCGTCTGGTTGCTGTTAGATGCAAGGTCTTGACACTGGGAATTTTCAATAGATCTTGGTCCTCAGAATGGAGGGATCTCTGGGGTTGGTAGGGGTGAGGTACATTGGCCCTAGACAAGGCCTTAAAGGTGAGTACCATCACTTTGGAAGTGATCTGGTGCTTAATTGGTAACCAGTGCAGCTGTAGTAAGATTGGGGTTATGTGGCATCTCATCGGAATTCCCGCAAGAAGCCGAGCAGCTGCATTTTGTACCAACTTGAGCTTCCAGATCACCGACAGAGGAAGGCCAATGTAGAGGGCATTACAGTAGTCCAGTCTTGAGATGACCGTAGCCTGGATCACCGTAGCTATGTCGTCCCTGGACAGAGAGGGGGCCAGCCATCTAGCCTGCCGCAGATGAAAAAAGGCGGTTCTGCTAACGGCGGAGACCTGGGCCTCCATCGTCAGCAGAGGGTCCAAAAGGACTCCCAGACTCTTTACCAATGATGACGGGCGTAGCGCCTCGCCATCCAGGGTAGGCAGCTGGATATCCCCACTGCCCGGTTGACCTAGCATTATACTTGAGTAAATACGGCAATTCCAAAAACAAAACCTGCCCTGGAAATGCAGGCCCCTGCTTTAGCTGGAAATAGAACAGTGTCACTTTTTCATGTTTAAAAAGTAAGGGGTGACACTGAGCATTTTCCTAGTGTAGGTAGGCAGCTGCTGGCCTCAGAAAATTAATGCAGGGACCTACAACCTAATCACTTTACTAAGCTGTGCAAATAATCCTTTGTCTCTCAGGGACTGATGTTCAAAAGCCTAGCTGCAAGATGTGTGAGTGAAGTATAGTTTCTTGCAATATGTTAACTGGAGTCCACAGCATGAACTGCTACCAGAGACAAACCTATGATTTTTATGGATGCTTGGTCTCTCCCAGGAGAGCAAAGGGAGACAGTTGCACACTAACTGAATTTCTTATGTTGTATAGGGAAGAATGACATATTTGGCGAACCAATCAGTCTTTACGCAAGGCCTGGGAAATCCAACGCTGATGTGCGAGCCCTCACTTATTGCGATTTGCACAAGATCCAGCGCGAAGACCTCCTGGAAGTCTTGGATATGTACCCAGCTTTCTCAGACAATTTCTGGAGCAATCTAGAGATAACATTCAATTTAAGAGATGTAAGTGTCTGGTGTGGGGAGTTAACATAGTGTGACCTCATTATTCTGCAGTCATGCTCCAAAAAACATTCCTGCTCCTTCAAATGTCCCAATAATGAAGGCTTCAGGGAATACATCGTGATCTTTATATATTTCTTGTCCAGGCAGATCCACAAATTCAGACCTTTCCACCAGCAGCATTAAAACTATTGGCAGGTTCAACCAATTAAAACTGGTTGGATCTTTTAGTCCTTTTTCTCCTTCCTTCACCCTCCCCCTGTTAGTTAGAAAGCAGGGGGAGCAATGTTTCTATATCCATGCGTCTGAGAGGAAGGGTTATAGGGAGAGTGTATCCAATTTTTGTGTATTTGTGTAAGAGTGGGAGGACAATGTTTGTGTTATCATTGTAAGGGGAAGATTGTATATGTATGTACCGTATATTCCGGCATATAAGACGACTGGGCGTATAAGACGACCCCCAACTTTTCCAGTTAAAATATAGAGTTAAGATGACTCCCATGCATAAGACTACACCCGCGTATAAGACGACCCCTGACTTTTGAGAAGATTTTCTTGGGTTAAAAAGTAGTCTTATATGCCAGAATATACTGTATATGTATGTAGATGCATGTGTGGATGCACATCTGTGTAAGGGGAGAAGTGTTTGACTTTGAAAGAGACAGAAAGGTGGTTTGGGAATGCACTTGTGTTCTTGTGAGAGAGGGGACTGTATTCCTCTGTGTATGTGTTTATTTCTGTAAAGGGGTATATCTGTATGAAAGAGAAGGTGTGACTCTGCAGAGCAATATTGAATTTATGTGTACAGTACAATAATATCTACTCAGAAATAAGCTCCAATACGCTGTGCATAAGAGCCATATCGAAAAATTATGTTAAAATTTTTCAGATTCTTCATGATAGATGATAGATTATCCCGATTGCTCATATTCACCTAATGCTTGAGCCTACATAAAATACTTCTGGGCTTAGAAACCATGCTCTTCATGATCCATGACAATTTTGCACATAATAATAATAATAAAAATAATAACTTTATTTTTATACCCCACCCTCATCTCCCCAAAGGGACTCAGGGCGGCTTACATGGGGCCAAGCCCAAACACATACAGTTAAAGAATAGCGTATAATATATAAAAACAACATAAACCAACATGATAACAATAGTAAGACAAGCATCATAAGCAACAACCAAAAACACTTCAAGTCTCATTATATATAACATCTAGTTATATCTTCATCTGATGCATTTTATGTGGCTAAAGAGTGACTGAAAAGTCAACGTGCTTTTTAAAATAATATTTTAATTCTGTAGGTAAAGGAATTACATTTTAAAATGTAACTCTGTGCATTTTTATTAATGTGGATTTTTGCACATATTTCTTAGTATTTTGTAAGCACCTTGGATCTCAGCCCTAGGAAGAAGGCAGAGTATAAATAAAGAAATAGAATGCAATTCAATGATGAAAGGGAAAGAAAGAACTCTGTACATCAGGGGTCCTCAAACTAAAGCCCGGGGGGCCGGAAACGGCCCTCCAAGGTCATTACCCGGCCCTCCCTCAGGGTCAACCTAAGTCTGAAATGACTTGAAAGCACACAGCAACAACAACAACAACAACAATCCCAACAGCTAAAAGTAGGCCCACACTTCCCATTGAAATACTAATAAGTTTATATTTGGGTTGTGGTAGTTTTTTTCGGGCTATAATGGTCATGTTCTAGAGGCATTCTCTCCTGACGTTTCGCCTGAATCTATGGCAAGCATCCTCACTACCTCCGAGGATGCTTGCCATAGATGCAGGTGAAACGTCAGGAGAGAATGCCTCTAGAACATATAGCCCAATAAAAACCTACAACAAACCAGTGATTCTGGCCATGAAAGCCTTCGACAATTCAGGTTTATATTTGTTAAAATTGTTCTTCATTTTAATTAATGTATTGTTTTTAAGTGGGTTTTTTTTTTTGCATTACAAATAAGATATGTGATTTGTGCATAGGAATTCATTCTTTTTTTTTCTTTTTCTTTTTCAAATTATAATCTGGCCCTCCAACAGTTTGAGGGACTGTGACCTGGCCCTCTGTTTAAAAAGTTTGAGGACCCCTGCTGTACATAGTCAACTAGAATGTGTCCTCATTTAGTTTCAGGTTACCATACTGAAAGATACAAGTTAGGTCCTAGAAAGCTACTTTAATTAAGATGATTTCTTACAAATGACTGTAATGCAGGACTGTGTAGTGTATGTTGTCATTGCATCATTTGTTCCACCGTAGCTTCCTCCAACCTGGTACTTTCCAGAAATGTTGACAACTATTCTCAGAATCCCTCAGATATGTGGGGAGGGGCTTCTGGGAATTGCAGTCCATACTTGTAGTGCATTAGGTTGGGAAGACTGTTCAAAGGAGCCTCACTGATCTTGTCTGATCAAGATTAATTTTCACCACTTTGCTTTCTTAGGCAGACAGTGTTCCTCGTTCACCACTCAGCGAAGAGTACGCCTGCAACTATCGTCGGGCACGTCGCCATAAGCGTTCCCTCTGCAAAGTCAACAAAATCGGTGAGTCAGACTCTTGGGATGGTACAGCCACTGGCATCTCAAATATTGAGCCATCTTTGCTCAGTCCATAAGTCTCCATCAGTTGCTCAGAATTCCTGCATTAACAACAGAGCAAGGAAGAAAGCAGGCCTCTTATTTTTCTGTCTATTTCCATCAGGGATCCTCAGTTTTTGTTTTTGAGATGTTGTTTGACTATATCTTCTACAGTCCCTCAACATTGATCATCCATCCTGAAACCCCTGGGTACTGAAGTCTATCAGCACCACACTTAAGAATCACTGACTTAAAACATGGCTGGATCTGATCCAAGGTCCAGCCTGTCCAGAGGTTGTCTCTGCTAATGACAGACCAATTACTTTGAGACAACTTTTAGCCAGAGCTAGATGAACAGATTCTTATGTTTCTTTGCACACGTATTACCTCCAAAAATTGAAATTCCATTAAGTTGTCCTGGAAGATCACTATGGTAAGCCTGTTGTTCGTTAATGTAACTACTCCTTAAATTGTGTATCACTGAGCACATCACAACCCTTGTCATCTCTAAACTTGAGAGTAGAACAAATGATGCAATGACAACATACACTACACAGTACATGTTGAGTTTCCGTTATCTGGAATGACTAAGACCAGAAGTGTTTTGGTGTTTTGGATTTTTTTTAATTTCATAATGCATGTAAACATACATGATGAGATATCACGGAGATAGAACCAAAACCTAAATTCAGAATTTATGTATGTTTCACAGATACCTTATATACATAGAATGAAGAGAATTTCATGCAATACTATTGATTCTTTTGTATATGAAACAAAGTTGAACCTACAGAAAGAAAAGATGGCAGTTTCTCAGCTACCCATGTGGCCAATTTTGGTTGATGAGGTATTTTGGATTTAGAGATAAGGGATGCTCAACATGGACAACCCTTTTTGGCAAAGAGTTGTATCAGTTTTTAAAGGTACTGAATGATGATTCCTAACCTGATTTCACGGATATTTTTGGACCACAACTCTCAGCATTGCTACATTCCCTATGCTGATTGGAAATTGTTGTGTTTGTAGTCCAACATCAGGGGAACCAGCTAGGATCCACAGCTTCTAGAGCAGTGGTTTCCAACCTGTAGGTTCCCAGATGTTTTGGCCTACAACTCCCAGAAATCCCAGCCAGTTTACCAGTGGTTAGGATTTCTGGGAGTTGAAGGCCAAAACATCTGGGGACCCCCAGGTTGGAAACCACTGTTCTAGAGAATACAAGGAGAGCTAAGTGGTATCTGTCCCTGTCCCACATGTATCAAAGATGGTCCAGCCTGTATTAACAAACTGTCACATTTCCACTCGGGCTTCATGAGTAAATTTGATAGGTGTTGCTAATGCAAACAAAGTCTGGGCAATGTTCTTATCACTCCTGCTAAGTCTAGTTTAAGTGTCTAAAATGTAGTGTGGTCCAATTGCTAGAAAAGAAGAAAATACCAGAGACTTGTTTGTGAAGTATAATGGAGTCATCATGGCCTTGGGGACAAGTCACTTTCCCATCATCACTTCCACTTCTATGCAGCATGACTTTCTTAAAAGGGTCCTTCTGAGGATCTTAAAAATCAAGAGTGAAAAGCTAGGTCATGGCTTTTGCATGACAGATGGCACTGGGATACTGACAAGATCTAGGCCAAGAAGCTTGCCTTACTGTTTGTCCCTATACTGACACTGTATAGAGGCTCATAACATATCAGGGGATGGAGCTGCTTGTTTATTCAAGATGTGGGTAAAGGTGAAAACAGCAAAGCAGAGAAATACATTGTCTTTTAGTGCTGCCATATTTAGAGGGTATGGAACAGCTTGCAATTATAATTTATAATTCAGATGACCATTTAGAACCAGATGTTTTGTTTTATACTTTTCAGATGTCTGTGATCATTTGCTTAGCATAGATGCTGCAGGCAGTTAAACTGTAGTTTGTGGACAGTACTATATCTCTAACAATCTGATATAACCCTTATCCTCATGGCAGACCCAGATGGCTTGGACACCGGAATCTCAGACCCAGAGCAGTATCATGCGTACTCTGAGCTGACCCAGCTGCAGCGCCCCCACAGCAAGGACCATTGGGATGATATGTGCAGTACTACAACACCGTGCTCCCAGACAAGTGAAGAGGAGGCCAAAGTGCCCAGCCCCACCAAGGGTGAATCTTTCATATTGACTGAAAAGAACAACTATGCACCAGCAGTGATAAGCCTGATTAGTGATGACACTGAGATTGACAAACTGATGGCTGATGACAGCCTACCCTTTGCAGGTATGTCACTCACTCTGCACTCTCATTGGATAAGGCAGTGTTTCTCAACCTTCCTAATGCCGCGACCTCTTAACACAGTTCCTCATGTTGTGATGACCCCCAAACATACCATTATTTTGCTTCTTCATAACTGTAATTTTGCTCCTGTTATGAATGGTAATGCAATTATCTGATAAGCAGGATGTATTTTCACTGGACAAAATTTGGCACAAATACCCAATATGCCCAAATTTGAATAGTGGTGGGATTGGGAGGAGTTGGAGTTGTTGGGATTTATAGTTCACCTACAATCTGAACTCCACCAGTGATGGAATTGAACCAAACTTGGCACACAAAACTCCCATGGCCAACAGAAAACACTGGAAGGGTTTGGTGGGCATTGATCTTGAGTTTGGAGTTGTAGTTCACCTACATCCAGACAGCCCTGTGGGCTCAAACAATGATGGATCTGGACCAAACTTGGCACAAATACTCAATATGCCCAAATGTGGACACTGGTGGAGTTTGGGGAAAACAGCCCTTGACATTTGGGAGTTGTAGTTGCTGGGATTTATAGTTCACCTACAATCAAAGAGTATTCTGTACCTCAACAACAATCGAATTGGGCCAAACTTCCCACACAGAACCCCCATGACCAACAGAAAATTCCTGATGGTCTTTGGCGACCCCTCTGACACCCCCTGGCAACCCCCGCAGGGGTCCCCACCCCCAGGTTGAGAATCACTGGGATAAGGCAATCTGCTTGGCCTGAGTTACATGATCTAGTAACAACTTTGACTTAGGAGCATTGTTAGTTTGTGACTTCCATATTGATGGGAAAGCAAGAATGCTCCAGATTTAGGTTCAGATGCAAAAAGGAGCTATCCAGTTGTAGGTTTTTTTGGGCTATATGGCCATGTTCTAGAGACATTCTCTCTTGATGTTTCGCCTGCATCTGCGGCAAGCATCCTCAGAGGTATTGAGGTCTGTTGGAACTAGGAAAATTGGGTTTATATATCTGTGGAATGTCCAGGGTGGGACAAAGAACTTTTGTCTGCTGGAGCTAGGTGTGAATGTTTCAGCTGACCACCTTGATTAGAATTTGATGGCCTGGCAGTTTTTTGGTGTGGCTTGTTAGTGCCTGGGAGAATCTTTTGTTGGTTATGGGATCAAGTGTTTGCAGAATAGATTGTTTTAATGGTAAGATTGTTTTAGTGAACGGCATTGGACTGATTTGGAAGATGACGTGAAATGGTGAATTATTTTAATGTATATTTTAAATTGTTTTTATGTATGCTGTCTTTTTATGCTTTGTTATTTATTGTTCGGCACCGAATGGTGCCTGCTGGTAGCCGTTCTGAGTCCCTCTTTGGAGGTGAGAAGGACGGGATAGAAATGCTCGTAATAAATAAATAACAACTAATAGTTGCTTTTCACTTTTGACAAACTAATGCAATATTAATTTTAGGATCAAAAAACATTCAATTTAAAACATTGGAGCATAGTTTATCGTGGCCATTTAGGTGGGTTAAGTGGTTGTATTCCCATAGTGGCCTGGACTCTGGTATTGTTTTCAACATAGAAAGGCAGAGGATTGGGTCAGAAAGGTAAGTAGGTGGTGGTGGGAGAGGAATAGACAGAGGATAAGTTACTGCAGAACATAGTTGTGTGAAACTGCAGAAAGTGTTAATGGCAGTCTGAGCATGTTTAGTTGTAAGGTAAGCTGCTCCAAGTTGAATGGGATTTACTACCAAGCAATAATTTATCAGTCTACAGTCTTGAACTATACTCTAAAATAAAAACTGTAAAGTTTTTAGAAGGAAAGTGAACAATTACATGAGGCTTGTTATGAAGGACAGGAACAGCAATATGTAACTACACTGTGCTTCTAATAATACTGAGCCATTCTGAAAGAATGTGAGGATTTTAAGGTACTTCATATGTATTATTGCTATGATCTTTACCCTAAATCAGTAATATACACCATTTTATTTTTCCCATTTTACACATATTTTATTGATAAATCTTTATAGTTTAATGTTTCTAGAAATGTAGTTTGATGGTTTCAAAAGTATTTTCTTAAAATTAATTTGAAAATTAGCTTATTACATTGAACATTAGTAATACTTTTTTAATTTTAAAAAAGATAATCACTAAAAGTGTTTTTTAAATCCAAAATAATGATCAGAGTAAAAAAAATGAAATACTAGCCATTACTCAACCCTTTGACACTTTTGGCATTTAAGGATTTAAATGACAAGGCAGTTATTTCCAAGGTGTGAGCACTTCAAGCATATAATGTATATTATTGTTTTCCCCATATTGTCCTCAGATGGCAGCAACAGTCCTTTTCCCTTTTCCCTTCCTTTCCTTTCACTTTCTCTCACAAATGCACACACACACAATCTTTCTCATATACATACACTCCAGTGTCCTCACTCCCACTATAAGGCTACAGCCTATGTTCTACACACAATATAACACAATATACAATAGAACACAATATAACATCCCGCATAACAAATTCCTTCTGCCTTATCTCTCACAAGCAATAACAGCAACAAATGTCTCCTATAAAATACTTAACTTTCAATATTTTAATGTTGTTTAATTTGTGGCCAAATAATTAACATTAATTTGCTTTCTTGTCCACATACACTCATACATACTTTAGCTCATTTCACTCTCTCACACATTATTATTATATCAGAAGTGGGCAAGCATGGTTCACCAAACATTTTTGGACTGTAATTCCGATAATGCCTTCCTATGATGGCTGCAGCTAATGGGAATTGCAGACAAACATCATTTGGAGGGCTATACTTGCCCACCTCTATTGGGTGGGCAAGTATAGATGGGCTATTGGTCTATTGGAGAATTCAATGCTTTCACTTGGAAGATGACACCCAACTCTATTGCCTCTTCCATTCCTTCCAGATCTAAATGCATCAAAGGGGAGGCAGAACAGACATGTCCACGGGAGAATGCTAGACATTTCTGTGCCCTGCTGACCCACTCCTTATGTTTTCATTTCAACAGAATGTCTGTAAAAAGGATTCCTTGTGTATCCAAGCAGTTTCATTCTTTCCCTATCACCATTCTAGGTACAATTCATAATGTTAGTGTTAACCTTTTAAAGCCCTTCAAACATGTATCCAGGGGGGCTGGAAAGAATTGCCTTCTGTATTCATTGAAAGCACAGGTGGCAACTGGGGAGACAACCTTCTTAGCAGTGATGCCCACTTTTGTTGATGCTTAGGGTGGTTTGTGCTTCATAACAGGCAAAGACATCCCCTCAACTTTTAAAGAGCATTTTAATCCTGAACTGACCCATTTAAGGCTTTTTATAGCATTTTATTTTGTTCCTAAGTAACAGACTTTTTATCTTTTCCTCTGCTGATGGTTGTAGAAATTTACTTGGTGGAAGCCACTTTAGAAAAATCTATTTAAAAGGTTGAATGTAAATGTCTTAAGTACATAAGACATAGTGATGCCGGTACAGGACCAATGTGAATTAAATGTTTCTTTCCTTTCCATCTCATTTTTGGGAAGCTGGAGATATTTTGTCTAGTGTTTAAGAATTGTTGTAATGCAGCCAGTTTTTATTGGGTATTTTTGAAATTTGGCCAGATGAAACTCTCACCACATCAGTTCTCAGTGCCCAACTCCATAATAGACCAGGCCCTTTAGGAGAGGATGATGCTTCAAATGCACTGCTTCCAGGCTGCAAGCTTGCTTCTCCTAGGATTTCTTTGAGAGCATCCCAATCCATACATATTTCCTATTTCTGGACTGCAACTCCCAGCAGTCCAGGAATAGAAACTCCCAGGACTGCAACTCCCAGATAGATAAAATATATAGATTATATAGAGATAGATTGTAGGTAGATAGATAAATCAGGGGGACTGCTGGGAGTTACAGTCCAATAAAAGGTAAAGAAGGAAGAAAGGAGAGAAAGAGAAAGTGAGGGGAAGGAAGGAGAGAAAGAAAGAAAGAGAGAGGGGGGGGGAGTTTGGCTACAGCAACGCGTGATGGGTACAGCTAGTTTTAAATATAGATTAGTAACTTTCTTTCTTTTACTTGCTAGCAACACCATTGGATGTATCCAACCTGTTCACATTCTGGGAGGACAAGAGGCCTACATCCCTTACAGAGCCTCTCCAGCATATGTCCCTGGTACATAGCCCTTTGGACATGCACAGCCCATTGGAGATGCCTCCAAATTCTGATAATAGACCACAACAGATTGAATCCAAATTGGAGTGCCTCCAGGCACAAATCAGCAGGTAAGTTCTGTTGCTTGAAGGTCTGGGAATATTGGGTGGGAGTGGGAGGCACCAATCTCAATTCCAATAGCTCTTGATTTCTACAAAACAAAGAAACCAATGTTCTAAAAAGTGAAATAAGAAAACTGGAAGGTAGATTATGTAACCCAGCTGTCGAAATGGATTATGTGTTCTTAACACATTCATTTCAAATGTCTATCCATCCAACTTTTCTTGTAAACAAGAAGTTTCCTAGGCAACTTCTTTGATTACTGAGTTGTTTCTACAGTTTATGGAAAGGGCCAAAAGAGGTTTTGAGAAACAATTTGTTGGAAAGAAACTACATCTGTGACAAGAATTCTTCAAATACAAATAATACCTTTGAAAATGTCTCCCATACATTACATTTTTGTACAAATCTACACACTTGCAAATACAGGTCTCACATACTGCTATGATGTTTGGAATGAGAAATCATTTAAAAGTGAAATCTCACCCTCATTGGCTTCTATTAATTGACTAATTTCTAATATGTTGTGAATATAAAACAGAACAGACACAAAACTATCTATGTAATGAGAAAGTATAATATCAGAAGAGCATATAGTATGCAATTTTACAAAATCCCCAGTATATAACTCAATTCAGTGGCATAAAGCAAAATCAACAGGAGCAGCTGCTCTCAAACGTAACAGTTCTAGGTCTGAATAAGGGTTCCGCTGTATATAGGCTTCAGGGATACATTCAATGAGAAAAATTATTTAAACAAAGTAAGCATTGAGTCATGAGGCTATATGTAGACTGAAGACAATAATGAAGATGGAGCACCACTCTCAAAATAATCTTCATGGATAAAATCCAAATCAAGTCCAGTGAAAATGCAGCACTGCTTCTCAAAAAAAAAGTCTCCAAAGGAAAAGTCCAAACAGCATTCAACAGGGGTGCCCAGATATTTTTGTACCCTGTTTCGGGGAAAGAAATCCCCTTCTTCAGGATGTTACGTTTGAGAACGTCTGCTCCTGTTGATTTTGCTTTATGCCACTGAATTGAGCTATGTACTGGGGATTTTGGTAAATTGCATACTATATGCTCTTTTGCTATTATACTTTCTCATTACATAGATTGTTTTGTGTTTGTTCTGTTACCCTACAAGTATTCTGGGATATTGTGTAGTAAATATAAAACATATAGAAAGAGGTTAAGAGAAGAGCCCTTCATTGGTTATACTCATAATGAGATGGGTGTCCTCATAATACTCTTCCCACTTTTGTGGTCTCATGGCTTTCCTTTTCCTCCTATCCATAATATCCATACATTAGGTCTGGATATCTGCAAGATAAATGTGTGCATATAGGCTTGACCTTTGCTGGCACTGACACTTTATACATGTATGATTGGACAAGGGAGAGGGAAACCAAGACCAACAGTGTAGTCCTGATTAAATGAGGATCATACACAACAACAGAGGAGATGTACATATTTGCTCCTCCATGAACACATTGATTGACATACCTGTGTCCATAATATCTGCTCTTCAGCACTCATGAAGAAGGAGCAATCCATCCATAGTTGGAGGACAAGGAGCTGAGCAAGTCCCTTGCCTGCTGTTCTATACCCAGAGCAAAAGCAGGGGAGCAGACGAATGAAATACGCAGACGACAACTTTACTGGCATGCTAAATGGATCGTAACTAACTAGATCTCAGATAATTGTCACACTTGTACCTTATAATCATTTTTGCCCTAATGTTTAAAGCCCTTTCATCATACTTTTGGCCCATTCTTCCATAGGATTCCCAGTTTGAAGGACTCCCAAGGCACCAAACCAATCAGGTGCTCCCACTGGACTGAATTTCCCCTCCCCTAATATTTAACACAAGCCTGCCTACATATTAGAGTTTGCAAAAAGGCCCATACTGGTTGAGAAATTGTATTAATTATAGTCCAAACAAGGAACTTTTCCTATTCTTGTTCATGTAATAAAAGCTAGCTTCTATGTGCTATGAACTGAGAGAGGCTTGCTATTAGATTTTTTAATCGGATAGCTGTCTGTGTAATTTCCCTTTGTTAGAGCATGTTATTTCATATGACTGAGCATCTCAGCTGAGGCTTGCTTATTCCCCTGAATTGCTTTGTGGCTTTTCACATTATGTCCTACTCCTTTGAACCATATAACATTTGGATTCATAAATTATAAGTGTGCGAGCTTTGGGATAACATGGATTGTTCCTTTGAAAAAACCTGAGAGCATCCAGATAACAACCTATGTTGTTCGGTCAAGTGAACTGTTCACATATGAACAGCTAATTGGTTGTGGTGAACTGACTCCTGAGAACCTGAACGAAAACCAGATGTGTAAAGAAAGAGCATTAGTATGATACGTGCTCACCCTGCTGGTTATATTGGGAACTGTATTCCAAGAAAACTCCATAAGTTTGAAGATTACTTTTGCATAAAAGGCATGTCCCCATATATGCAGAGGATACATTATAACMCCCCCCCCCCCCCCGCCGCCTCTAATGTTGATACCTGAAACCATGGATAAGAATGCTATATTTTGACTATATTTGGACTGAAAGCATTGAATAGCTCTGGAGGACCTAGAGTTACTCTAAGGCCCATCGGCCAAATCCAGAACTCCAAGGTCTTTCCCCAGTCCCCGCCAATACTGCCAAGTATGCATGAATGTATGGATGCATCCACACCACACATTTGATGCATGCACATGGCGGCAGCAGCAAGTGCATGTGTGTGGCAGCCGCCAGGACAAATAAATGTGAGTGGCGGCGGTGGGTGTGTGGTGGTGGTGGCAAGTGTAAGTGCCTGTGTGTGGCACAGCCAATGCATGCACACATGGCCAACACACACACAACACACGCATGGCATACACGCATACATGCGCACACCTTTAAAGTCTGCCTTCCAACAATCTGAGGAACCATTAATCAGCCCTTCACTTAAAGGATTTCGGGACCCCTGATCTAAAGGGACCCACAGGTCTTTTGGGGAAGGGAAATATATTTTTGGAGTGTGAGTAAATGAAACCATGGATGTTAAATCCATGTATAATGGAGTTGTACAGATCAGAATGGATTTATTTATTATTTATTTACAACATTTATATGCTGTCCTTCTTACCCCGAAGGGGACTCAGAGCAGCTTACAAGTAATATGTGAATACAATATATTATATTATTACCATAACAGAATACCAGTATTATATATGTTATGAATAACTTTCCCACATTGGAAAAGAATATCCAACTTCTAACACTAATTTGTCATGAATTACTTTTCAATAACTTTGAAACATAGGTTCTTTTTATTGCAATTTCCAGTATTAGAGGGTATATCAGATTACAGAAAACATTTAGACAAAGAATGACATTGTACGTACAGACATACAGATTCTATGCAACTACATTGGATTTACAATTACATTGGTTTACAAATGAACAAAGGGGAGTTACATTTTCACTCAACATTCACACACATGTACATGCATTCATCGTCATGCACCCAAATATTATTATATCCTTTTCTCCCTCCTTGGAGAAGCACCTGTTAGGCCAGACACTGCTTTCCTGCAGCCCTTCCAATGCATAGTTCCAAAACTTCCATAACTTCTTTCCCTAAGCACAATGCCAAGGACCAGATCTCTGTTTTCCATACAGCACAACCTGACTCCCTGCACAAAATCCAAGACTCCAAAGTGCACTTCTTCCTCTTCCCTTGAGAAAGACACCCCAAAGTGACCAGACTGCTCCCTTGCAAATCTGCCACTATCCATAGGTACATTATCTCTCTCCCTCCATGGAGCAGAGCATTGTGGATGGAACAGACTCCTCAGGTCTGCCACACTTTGAGCATTATTAGATTGAGTCTTTTATAGGAATATTCTGCTGATGTAGTCCCAGAGTTGTAAATTAATGATAGACATCTTCCATCCTGGCTCCATCTCAGTTTCCTGGCCAGATGTTGATTCTTCTTGATTGGTGTTGACAAACACAAGGTTTGTGTTGACTTCCTTCTTAACATAAGGAATGTTGCAAACATTTCTGTTATCACTGTCGCAGTTCTTATCAGAGTTTACTTTTCATTTCTCATTAGCAACTTTTAATTATAGTCCAGCAAGCAGGTAGTTAGTCATTGCAGGCCTGGGTCTTTTACTGGTGTTTCCAAAATTATTAGCTCCATACATTCGTCCAATCTTCCATTGATATTAAATCCACATTTATAAAATCTGCACATTAAATTTTTGTGACATATATTACTATATTGTACTATACCATTATACTGTAATATTATTAGTAATATTACATGTAATATAAAATTTATAACATATTATTATTAGTAGTAGTATTATATTGTATTACATTATAATATTATCAATATTGCCCGGAAGCTTCAATTAGTCCAATGTGCGGCAGCCAGACTACTAATGGGAGTGGGGTACAGGGAGCATACTACTCCTCTGTTGCGCCAGCTCCACTGGCTGCCAGTCAGCTTCCGAGCACAATTCAAAGTGCTGGTCTTAACCTATAAAGCCCTAAACAACTCCGGCCCAATTTACCTGTCCGAACGTATCTTCCCCTATAAACCATCAAGATTGCTAAGATCGTCTGGAGGGGCCCTGCTCTCAATCCCACCGGCCTCACAGGCGCGGCTGGTGGGGACAAGAGACAGGGCCTTCTCGGTGGTGGCCCCTCGACTCTGGAACTCCCTTCCACTGGAGATCAGAACTGCCCCTTCTATCTTAACGTTCAGGAAACAGGTGAAAACTTGGCTTTGGGGATTGTCATTCGACGAATGAGCCATGATCCTGTGATATGGATGGATGACGACGAATAATGATTTTTGATGACTGACCACTGTAATTATATGATTGTATTTTGCTATTTTAATGTTTTAGTGTGATTTAGAATATGATGTTTTAATGACTGTCTGTAATATTGATGTTGGAAACCGCCCTGAGTCCCTCGAACAGAGGTGAGAAGACCGGTATACAAAACTGCTAAATAAATAAATATTATATTATATTACTAGCACAGTGCAGGAGACAAGGTGGAACTGTCTTCCTGGCCCCTCTCTTCACTCTGGTCCCAGAGCAACAGTTGGGGCTGGGGAGAGGTGCTCCCAACTGGTGACACAGGAGACAAGATGGAACTGTCTTCCTGCCCACTCTCTTCACTCTGATCCCAGAGCAGCAGTTGGATCAAACTAACATGTCACTGTCTCTTTCATAGATTGGAATCCAGGATGTCTTCTGACATGAATCTCATCCTGCAGCTGTTGCAGCGACAGCTGTCTCAAGTGCCACCTTCATATAGCTCCATCTCACCCTCCTCCCACAATTTGGCTTTGTACAACATGGGCCTGAGGAGCACAGAACCTGCCTCACCTGTAGGAGAAGAGGAGCTGACTCCCACAAAGGAGGTAAGAAGTGGGCATTGGGAACCCAGAAGGTTTCTTTACAGTAAGGTGGACGAGGATTCTACTGCTGAACATTGCAGAGTTTGACCAAATGGGAACAAGCCAAATGGCTCTGGCTCCCCCATAAGTATAAATAGTTATGTCTTGCTTTGAATCACAAGAAGGAGTGAATGTGGCTGCAGCTAAAAGACAGTACATTCTTCTAAAATAGGCAGAGTCATCATAAAACTGTATTCATATTTTTTCATTTTTTCCATTCATATAGGGACCAATTATTTTTAGAGTATAATTTTATGCACATTCTTTTTGAACTAGGTCTTGATCTATCTGATGTCTATGGCTTCCCCATAAGTATACGTAGGATTATATCTGCATATTTCTTTCAAACCCAGACCCACAGAAGCTACTTTTGAAAGAATATATAAATAGCAGAATAAAGTACAGTGTGTCCTTTAGTTATGACAGTATAACTAAAATCTACATAACTGAATTGTTACATTCTAATGGAAAATCTCCCACTCTTTATTCCCGACTCCTGTTTTTTAATTGGATTTTCCTAATATATATCTGTAGCAAGGTATGCATGTGCGGTTTCTCTTCACAGCTCAACAAAAATATACCCAGGGTGCCTTGCTTTTTAGCTCTGTTCCTGGGGTTATTTGGAGCAGTGATAAAGAAAACTAGATCAGCTCTATTATCTTAGATATGGTTATCCTGGTTTTCTATTTATTTATTTATTTACTATATTTGTATACTGCCCCTCTCAGTCCGGAGGCGACTTGAGGCGGTTTACAATCAACGATCAATGCCCCACAAAGTAAAATACAGTCAAAAACATTACATATAATAAAACCACATAAAAGCAATAAAACAATTAAAACCATAAAGTACAAGTCCTCGGCATCTCATCATTAAAATCATTTTCTGTTACAGCGTCCAATCATTCCATGAGTCTCAATTAATCAGTTACACTGCGTCTGCAAACGCCTGCTCAAACAGCCAGGTTTTAACTTTCTTTCAAAATGTTAAGAGGGAGGAGGGTGATCTAATATCCCTAGGTAGGGCGTTCCATAGCTGGGGGGCCATTGCTCAGAAGGCCCTGTCTCTCATCCCCGACCATCTGATCTGCGAGGAAGGCAGGACTGAGAGCAGAGCCTCTCCATACAATCTTAAGCACATAGATGGTCATAGGGAGAGATGCGTTCAGACAGGTAAACTGGGCCAGAACCGTTTAGGGCTTTAAAGGCTAAAGCCAGCACTTTGAATTGTGCCTGGTAGCAAACTAACTGGCAGCCAGTGGAGCTGGTGCAACAGAGGAGTTGTGTGCTCCCTGAGTGCCGCTCCTGTTAACAACCTGGCTGCTGTCTGTTGGACCAATTGAAGTTTCCGAACAGTCTTCAAAGGCAACCCCACATAGAGCACGCTGCAGTAATAATAACAACAACAATAATAATAATCTTTATACCCCGCCACTATCTCCCCAATGGGGACTCGGAGCGGCTTACATGAGGCCAAGCCCAAACAGTAAATTACAATAAAATAAAACCGAAAACGCAAACAACAAACAACAAACAACATAATTACATAAAACATGAAAACATAGCAATATAAAATTACAACAGGCACAATCACAATGACAATGGGCGGGCTACATGTAATGATTAAAAGAGAGACTGATTAAAACTAATTAAAACTCAGGCGAGATAAGAGAGAGACAGATTCTTTGCAGAGGAGGACTCATTATAGTGGGGGTTGTGGAATCAGGCTTTCCCACAAAGTGGGGGGGGACATATACTCCAATGACAAAACGTTGAGGCTAAGCAATAGTGTGAGAATGTAAACCTATTCATCAAAAGCGCAGCGGAAGAGCCAGGTTTTAAGGTCCTTTTTAAAGGTTTCTAAGGTAGGGGCTTTCCTAATTTCTCCAGGTAGTGAGTTCCAGTTTGCTACCAGGCACAATTCAAAGTGCTGGCTTTGGCCTATAAAGCCCTAAACGGCCCCATGATTGCTGTTGGAAATGCATCTCCCTCTATGTACCATTGCGGAGATTAAGATCTTCCGGGGAGGCCCTGCTTTCCGTCCCGTCATTGTCACAGGGGCGTTTGGTGGGGACGAGAAACAGGGCCTTCTCAGTGATTGCCCCCCGGCTATGGAACTCCGTTCCTTGTGAGATCAGGTCGGCCCCCTCCCTCCTGTCCTTTAGAAGGATGGTAAAAACTTGGCTGTGGGACCAAGCTTTCGGGACAGGGCAATGAAGCGACAATGGGAAAGATGACAGGGCCAATTGGATTTGATGCGGATGGCTAGGACGGTTTTAAATTGTGTTATTTTAAATGGTGTATTTTAATATTTAGATAAATGTTTTTTAATGTTTATGTATTGTATCCAGGCATTGAATGTTTGCCATGTATATGTTGTGCTCCGCTCTGAGTCCCCTTCGGGGTGAGAAGGGTGGAATATAAGTGTTTTAAATAAATAATAATAAATAATAATTCCAGAGTTGGGGGGCCACAGAGTCTATACGGGATGTAACCAGAGCATAGACTACCATAGCCAAGTCAGTTCTGTGGGTGAACAGATGAGGATTGGTAGATGACATATGTTCTGTGTCTCAAAAAATAGAGCTGATAGGGTAAACTGGTGCCATTTTTGGAATCAGCAGGTCAAATATACCCAGAAACAGGGCTATCATTTGAGGTACCAAAATGTGTGTTGACGAGTGTTACCTACAAATAAACAACATCTGCTATTCTCAATTTTAACTTTGTCTTGTTGAAGGAGATCTAGTAGCATTGTGAAGCTTGACCGTGTTTCACTTGCTGTGTTTTTGAACCTTCAATATTGATTGTCATTATGTCTCAGGATATTTTCTTCAGTCATCTGGGTGGAAACTCTTTTTCCCCCAAATGAAAACAGATTCTCAGATTCCTATAGCAACAGTTTGACCTTGTTTGTATTATTCTTTGTTCCCTTTTCTCACTAGAATCCAAATTACTCTGAAACTGAAAAAACCCAGCTGAAATCCAGGGACTCCTTGTCGAGTGGTGTACACCTAACTGTGGCTTCAGATGAAACCATGACAATCAGTTCAGAGCAAGAGCACTACCCACAGATCCTGCCAAACCAAGAACCCCACCCGAGGGCACCAGGTGAACAGGGACTCTTCCGAGGATCTCGTTTCCCTTCCCTTCCTGAGCACCTTGAGGCACCTTCGGAGCACTTGGACATTCAGAGACATCTCTCTGACCCATTGCTTCCTGCAACTTAGGAATCAAATTCCAGCTCAGAGCCCCAAGCAAGAGGAAGTTGAACTGACAAGCTACTTAGCTGATTTTAATTGTTGCACTTGGAAGAAGATACCAATGGCTCAGGAGATTACTCTTAGCCATCTCTTGCCCTCTCTGAAGAGAGTGAAATTTTAAAAAATGGAGTGGCTTCCAAGACCATTGATCTCAGAAGTGATACTCCATAAAGTAGACTTCAGGTGCACATTTTCTCCTCACCAGTTCTGAGAGGAGTGACATGTATATGCTGACTGACGTTCTCTTCCACACTCTCAATCTTGCGTCTGTTGGCTGCAAGCAATGTGATGCCAGGGTTTACATTCACTTGTCTTTCTAGCATGGTGGGACACAGATGCATTTCCATACTTTAGTCATATAATATTGAGATATTTTTTCTGGAAGAGGAGATTGATAAGTGAAAAAAAATCTTCAGTTGTAGGCTACAAAAGAATGAATGTAACTTTCTTTGATGTATCTAGTATCAGAACCCTATAATTCATCAGGTATGGCCCTGTAAAGGAAGGAAAATTAAAACAAGGCCATCACTTTCAACATGAGGACACACTAAACCATACATGTTCTGCTCATAGGGAGGACCACTTCGTGTGTTTGTTTTTCCTTGCATGGACATTTTCTCTGTAGAATAAAAACTACAGGATGAAAGGGAAAAGTGTTCACTTCAGTCCCATACAGGGATTTCAATAGGAATTTTGAACCTTCTGTTTCTATTCACATCCCTGACTACATAGTTCCTACCAATGCTTTAAATCCCCAGGCATTAAATTAAACTATCCCTGTGTATAGGCCTGATTGTATACACGATTGTGCAGAACTCTGTTCCACAGAATTCTGTGGCATTTTAATACCAAATAAGCTATCATAGGACTGCTGTTTCCAAGTAAACTTATGGTTCTCCTGAACACCCTGCAACAACCAAATCGGATCCTAAGCTACTATTGACCCATGCTCTATCTACTGAATTTTTAAAATAAAATTAACACTCTTCTCATGAACTTTGGGAAAGATACTGAGTGGAGAAAACATTCCAATTTAGCTAACTTTGTACTACATTTCAGGAGAAGTCTGTCTTGTACTTAGCCACTCGCTGAGAATAACTGATCTTCTGGGCCAGAAGATCAGATATGCAAAATGCAGGTACGTACAATAGGCTATACGTTGTTTTTTTTTACCAATCTGCAAAGCTAGTATAAGCACAATTTCAGAAAATCCTGGAAGAGGAAAAGTAAAACAAACAACTCTCTTTTTTCTATGTGTGTGTAGCCTTTCCCTCTTGGTTGTATCCCCATGCCAAAACACTACATAGAAGCACTGTAAATGAATCCTCAAATCCTCCCCATCCCTGCCCCCATTACCACCCCTCAATTAGATGCTGCAATGGCCCTAGGCCACCTACCCAAAATAACATATTAAAACTCCCAGTGGAGAATAGCAAGGGAAAATAACTGTGAGCATTTTCTTTTCTTTTCTTCTCAGGAGTGGTAGTGTACACTTTGCAAATAAAGATTATTTTGACACCTAATGTGGTCTGATTATTTATTTATCGTGTCATCAGCAACCATACCATTGTATTACATTTCTAACAGAACAAAAAAAACAGATTTAAAAAAAACACAGATTTTGCAAACTTGGTAGTTGATTAAATGTCCTTTGACCAGTATCTGGCCACTTGGAGTGCCTCTGGTGTTGCCGCAAGAAGGTCCTCCATTGTGCATGTGGCAGGGCTCAGGGTGCATTGCAGCAGGTGGTCAGTGGTTTGTTCTTCTCCGCACTTGCACGCCGTTGATTCCACCCTGTAGCCCCATTTATTAAGATTGGCTCTGCATCTCGTGGTGCCAGAGCGCAGTCTGTTCAGCGCCTTCCAAGTCGCCCAGTCTTCTGTGTGCCCAGGGGGGTCTCTCATTTGGTATCAGCCATTGGTTGAGGTTCTGGGTTTGAGCCTGCCACTTTTGGACTCTCGCTTGCTGAGGTGTTCCAGCGAGTGTCTCTGTAGATCTAAGAAAACTATTTCTTGATTTAAGACGTGCTGGCTGATACCCAAACAAGGGATGAGCTGGAGATGTCTCTGCCTTGGTCCTTTCACTATTGGCTGCTACTTCCCGGTGGATGTCAGGTGGTGCAATACCGGCTAAGCAGTGTAATTTCTCCAGTGGTGTAGGGCGCAGACACCCCGTGATAATGCGGCATGTCTCATTAAGAGCCACATCTACTGTTTTAGTGTGGTCGAGATGTGTTCCACACTGGGCATGCGTACTCAGCAGCAGAGTAGCATAGCGCAAGAGCAGATGTCTTCACTGTGTCTGGTTGTGATCCCCAGGTTGTGCCAGTCAGCTTTCGTATGATGTTGTTTCTAGCGCCCACTTTTTGCTTGATGTTCAGGCAGTGCTTCTTGTAGGTCAGAGCACGGTCCAAAGTGACTCCCAGGTATTTGGGTGTGTTGCAATGCTCCAGTGGGATTCCTTCCCAGATAATCCTCAGAGCTCGGGATGCTTGTCTGTTCTTAAGGTGAAAGGAGCATGTCTATGTGTTATGTGGTCTGATGACACTCTCCTGGTTCTGAGGCTGAAGTGTATATATGGAAAAAAGTGACTTTCCTTAGGAAGGGAGAAATATAGCAGAACAGCTAATTTTGACTTATTTCTCAAACTCCTGTGTATGTACACCTGGTAATATGGAACCAGGCATGTAGCCAGGAGGGGCTCGGGGGGCTTCAGCCCCCCCCCCCCCTGAAATTCTCATGGTGGTCCATGAGAAGGCCTTACTGGTATATTATTTAAACTGTTATGTTTATTCGTATCATGATCTGATCACCATGCTCAATATATCCCACTTGCATGGGGGTATTGGGGTAATGATACAAAAGGTTTGCTAGGGTAGACCTTCTTTCACTCAAACTAAGCCCCCCCGCCCCAATCAAACTCAGCTCCCCCCAAAATAAAATCCTGGCTACGGGCCTGTCTGGAACCAATATTGCCTTCTTGCCTGTTTTCCTCAAAGGTGGGTGTCACCTAAGTGGATAGTGACTAGCTAATTATGGGCCAGGCAACTATAATGTTTATTAACTGGGGCCAACTGTTTCCTACAGCTAATTTTAAAAGCAATAGGTTTATTGTTTGGTTATATTTGACATCTTGACTACAGCAACAGAGAGCTTCCCATAGGGACAGGTAAGAAATTTGTGTATTATTATTGTTATTGTTATTATTATTATTATTATTATTATTATTTATTATTATTATTATTATTGTACATTTGTATCCTGTCCTTCTCACCCCTGGGGGGTGGGTGGGGACTCAGGGTGGCTTTACAACAAGCACTCATTCAAGTGCTAACTACAATCATAGACACATTTAAACGGATCATTAAAATACATTACATTAAAAACATTTTATTAAAATCACACCAGTTTAGAAATCATTGTCTGGGACAGTCCATTGCAGTGATTTATTATTGTTCACTGTAGTGATTTAGTATTGTTCACCTTCCCTAATGAAGTAAAAGCAAATCTAAGAATTCAATCTCTTTCAAACACAGCTTTTCCTTTATGGAAAACAATGTGGTTTTGTGGGTGAAACTTTATACATTTTTTTAAAAAAAATTGTTCCCTATACTAGCAATGGAAAAATAAACTGCCCAAGTCTTACTGTTCCAAACCAGACATAGACCTATTTGAGTCTGAGATATTATATGCTTATATTGCAAAGAGCTGATTCTGATGAGACTGTTTGCAATAGCGCTGCAGTGTAATTCTTCATTAGCATCCCCCCTTATTGCACAAAGTAGAAAGCAGGATAGTGATTTATGAGAGCCTGTCATCTGTTAGTGGTTCATACTATCATCTGTGTGATCTTTTTTGGTGGGAAATATGCTAGATACCAGCTCTGACTACAATATTTCAGTAAGCATTTTATAAAGGGAAACTGGCTCTATGTAAAGTGGCCACGTTTTTAATAGTATTGATGTGTCTTAATCATTTGATGTCATCTCATCATAAATCATGTTGAAACTAAACACTCCAAGATTCAAGAAATACCAAACGGTAATCTAGTTAAATTGCACTACTTGCCCCCATCAACCGTTACACTGACAAACACACATTTTTGGTACTGTTTCCAGCTATATTTAACCTGCTGGTTCCAAAAATGGCACTGGTTTTCCCGTATCAGCTCTACTTTTTGAGATACTGAACACACACCATTTTATTTACAGTATTTATATTCCGCCCTTCTCACCCCGCAGTGCCATAGACACACAACCAGGGCCGTGGCCAGAAAAAAATTTCGGGGAGGGTTGAAAATTTCAGGGGGGGGGGGTTGAAAATTTCGGGGGGGGGGTTGAAACCTGCCTCCTAGCTCACGCTGAAGCAAAAAGCACAGCAGGGGGCAGAGCAGCCTTCAATAGCCTGTCAACCACCTCCACCAAGTCTGGCCTCCTTAATGAGAGCATTCAACACTCCCCCCCCAAACTTGGTTGCTTCGCTACATCGGCTATTGCTGCAAGTAATGACAGTGTGAATAAATTGTCAATATTTGCTTGAGATAGTGCTTGCAGTTCTGGAGGGACTCTTAATTTTTGCATCTCATAGACTTAGCATGAGGATTTGGTTAACCAGTTAAAATTCATGAGTAAACCAGTTTTTTTAACCTGAAAAATTTCGGGGGGTGGGGGTGGGGGGTTAACTCCCTAACCCCCCCCCCCCTTCAATGCCATAGACACACAACATATATAGACAGACACAGAGGCAATTTAACATTCCAGCTTTTCTTGAGGGTATTTTGGCCACCAGGGGAGCTGTTCCTTCACTGACCATTTGTGACACTGATGAAGTACTTCCTCATTCTTTGCATGCTTGCTGGAGATTTTTATGGCCTCGTAAATTAGTTAAATTTGTCTCCCGCATAAGCAGTACCTAAATTTCCTTCTTGACAGATGCAACTGTCTTTCAGGCTGCAAAGTTCGACAGCAAGCTACACAAATTTGGTCGGAAGCTCATTCTGACCCGGGCTGGCTTTGAACTCATGACCTTTCGGTCAGTAGTGATCTTAATGCAGTTTACTCCCAGCCAGCTGCGCCACATCCATGATCACCCATAGAAAATCATGACAACCATATCTAAGAAAGTAGAGCTGATGTGGTCTATCCAATGCAGTTCTCTGAATTAGAGCCTCAAATAATCGTCTTGAGTCCCCTTTGGAGTAGAGAAAGGCGATATACAAATAGAGCAACTAAATAGCCCCCATTAACAGGCCTGAAAACTAAAACATCAATATTTTTTTTAAAAAAAATGAGTTGTGTTATCTTTTCTAAACCTTGCAAGCACTCATATTTTCTCTACTGAACCTATAATTCAGGGGCCATGAAGCACATTAAGATTTCTTTCTGAGATAAAGTTGTTACTTGATTTGGTACTTCTTAGGCCTTTTGCGTCCTCGGAGTGTGGAGTGCAGCTTTTTCTTTTCTTTTTCTTTTTGGTCAATGCACAGACTTCTGAATGTGCTGAGCCCTGTTTTCCTGCTTTACTTTCATGTTACATCCCTTTTCTCACTTAGGCCATCTGTGCAACACCTTCAGCTGTTCAGCTGTTCAATTCAACTCAAATGAGCTGCCACTGCTGCACTGAGATTACACAGGGCATGTACCAAATGTGTTCCTTCTTAACTAAAACAGCCCATGAATACTTTCAACTAAGGTTTATCAGTGGATAATGGTTATAACAGTTTGAGCGATAGTATTTCTTTCCACTACACTCCCAGGTTTCTGATTGGTTTGGATTTCAATGGGAGATCCCCCCAACCCCCCAAAAAGTATATTTGAGATATCAACAAAAGATTAATTAAGTACATTACTCTCTTGGGGCCTCTCCAGTTTCAGACAGGAACATAGAAGGTATCTTACATTGGTTCGTTGATCATTGGTCCCTCTTGCCTAGTATGGTCAATTCAGACAGCAGTTCTCTAGGGTTTTTAGGCCAATTACTCCTCTAGCCCTTTCTTTGGTTCCAGTATTAATCTAGAGCCCCACTGCCCTCACATGCCATTTCCCTTAGGCTGGATCTACACTGCTATATAATCCAGTTTCTGAATCAATATTATCTGCTTTGAACTGGAT